CACAATCCTTTCCAAAAGGAGAAAATATTTCCTTTCCAAAAGGAGAAAATATTTTGAGTAGTGGGGAGAAGAGAGAATATTTAACATGTGACTAGGATTTAGATGTTTGTGGATTCCTCAGTGCAGGTCTAGGATTCTACAATTTTGGGTACAGTCTTGGGAAGGATGGTGACAGAAGAGAAACTGGATAGAAACCCAGATACGTTTGTATCTAAAGGAGGAAGAACATTCACTTGGCTTCTCCACTAGCAGGGTGGGAATGACAAGTGTTGCAGAGAATCTCTACATCCAACATGGCACCTAGGCAGGTGGCCATTAGGGTAGTCTCAAAGCTGTTTACACTTCACTGTGATGTGCAGAAAGCAGGAAGGAGTTCCCTAGACCTCAAAGATGGTGAGGAAGTATTGAGAGAGGGTTACAGACACAAACGGGCCAGGGGTTGGTATGAGGAAGATTCAAAGGGCACAAACCTAATAACCAAAGGCCAAGGCAGGATTATGGACATCAGGAGTCAGTACTAGTGCATACCGTTGAGAACCAGAAGAGGCAAGTGACAGCTGAGGCAAACAAAGGCAGAAGGCAGCATGCTGACAAAGGTCTCATTATTCTTCTGATTCCAGGGTGTTTTACACACCACACACACACACACACACACACACACACACACACACACAGACACACAGACACACACACACACACACACACACTGTTCATTCCTGGGATGCAAGAAAGGAGAATGGTGAGAGGGATCCTGAGTTTGATCAAGAAATAAAATTCAGAATATCTGGGTTGCATTACCTTGGCAATTTTATATTTTTTTACCACTTAGAATAAATGGGAATTTGACAGATATGTTGTATTCTATTTCAAAAAAATAAAAAAATTCCATCTTTCTATAACTGAATTATTTGAACTATTTGTTTCATTAATTTCTTTGTTGAACAGATTTTATACTGCAGTAGTTTTTTTCAATAGATGAACCACCAGAATGTGGAAATTCTCAAACAATATCATTAATATCATACACAGGTATAATTTTGCTGAGGATCATTCAAAAGCAGTTGCAGCAGTACATTGACAGGCAACTGCCAGAAATTCAAGCCAGACTCAGAACAGGATGTAGACTGAGGGATATCATTGCTGATGTCAGAGGGAACTTGACTGAAAGCAGAGATTACCAGAAAGATGTTTACCTGTGTTTTATCGACTATGCAAAGACATTTGACTGTGTGGATCATAACAAATTATGGATAACATTGTGAAGAATGGGAATTCCAGAACACTGAATTGTGCTCATGTAGAGCTTGTACATAGACCACAAGGTAGTCATTCGAACAGAAAAAGGGGATACTGTGTGGTTTAAAATCAAGAAAGGTATGCATCAGTGTTGTATCCTTTTACCATATTTATTAATCTGTATGGTGAACAAATAACCCGAGAAGCTGGACTTTATGAATAAGAACACAGCATCAGGATTGGAGAAAGATTCATTAACAACCTGTGATATGCAGATGATACAACCTTGCTTGCTGAAAGTGAAGAGGACTTGAAGCACTTACTGATGAAGATCAAAGACTACAGCCTTCAGTGTGGATTACACCTCAACATAAAGAAAACAAAAATCCTCGCGACTGGATCAATAGGTAGCATAATGATAAATGGAGAAAATATTGAAGGATTTCATTTTACTTGGATCCACAATTAACCCCCATGGAAGCAGCAGTCAAGAAATAAACAATGTATTGCACTGGGCAAATCTGCTGCAAAAGACCTCTCCTTCTCTTCCTCCGTTGCTGTTGAGTTGATTCCGACTCATAATGACCCTGTAGGACAGAGTAGAATTGCCCCGTAGGGTTTCCAAGGAGCCGCTGGTGGATTCCAACTGCTGACCTTTTGGTTAGCAGCAGTAGCTCTTAACCACTACACCACCAGGGCTCCAAAAGATCTCTATAAAGTGTTTAAAAGCAAAGATGTCACTTTGAGGACCAAGGTGCACCTGACCTAAGCCAGGGTATATTCAATCATGCAAAAGCTGGACAATGAATAAGGAAGATTGAAGAAGAATTGATGCCTTTGAAATATGGTGTTGGTGAAGAATATTGCATATATACCATGGACTGTCAGAAGAATGAACAAATCTGTCTTCAACCAGAATGCTCCTTAGAAGCAAGAATGGTGAGACTAGGTCTCATATACTTTGGACACGTTATCAGGAGGGATCAGTCCCTGGAGAAGGACATCATGCTTGGTAAAGTAGAGGGTCAGTGAAAAAGAGAAAGACCCTCAATGAGATGGAATGACACAGTGGTTGCAACAGTGGATTCAAACATAGCAAGGATTATGAGGATGGTGCAGGACCGAGTAGTATTTTGTTCTGTTGTACATAGGGTCACTCTGAGTTAGAACTGACTCAGTGGTACCTGACAAAAATAACAACTCAAGAATGAGTCTTCTAGAATTCTTTTGTTTTTGAAATGCCTTTCTGTTTTCTTTACACATGAATACACTTTTTCCCCTTTTTCAGAAATTTGTGAGCATCCTTCTGTTGTCTTCTAATATTGAATTTTTTATGGAGAAGTCTGAGCCCATCCAGATTTTGTTCTTGTTCGATAAGAGACTTGTTTTTTCAGCCCAGATACTTGAAAATTCCATTTAAAAAACTCTATATTTTGTAAATTAACCAGAATTTGTCTTGAAGTTGCATATTTTGAACTAGTATTCCTGATACACATAATCAAGGAAAGCTTCTTCTTCTCCCTTAATTTCAGGTCATGTTCTTATACAGAATTTAAAAAAAAATAGTTTTTCTGTTTCATTTTTTGGGATCTCTATTTCAGGAACACTAACGCCCATATAAGGATCCCTAGCAGTGCAATGGTTAAGCACTCGGCTGCTAGCTGAAAGGTTGACAGTCTGAAGCTATCAGCCGATCTGTGAGAGAAAGATGTGACAGTGTGCTTCCATAAAGATTTACAATTTGTTTGTTTTTGTCTCTTAGCTCTGAAATAGTCCTTTTTAATTCATTCTGATATTTAATATTTTTGGCTCTGAGCCCTTGATTTATTGAATTTATATTATTCTTACTATTATATTGTGTGATAAATTGGTAAATAATTTTCATCCATTCTTTGGTTTATGTTAATATTATTTATCTGTTTTTGTGTACTATGTTCCTTTTTTTCCTTTCTTACTATAATATGAAAGCATAGTTGTTAAGCCAGCTCTTCTCATCTTGCTTATGCTTAACATAGGCCTTTATATGTAGACCGTCTATGTGCTCTGATATTATATTTAAATTTACCTATTTATTATTATAGTAAAAATTGTATTTTTATTTGTTCCTTGTCTGTCTTCCCCATTAGAATATAAGTATCATATTTTAGAAGTTTCTGTGATGTTTTTTCCCTTTGTTCTGAGTAGACTGAGTAGCAACCAATGAAGCAAAGGCAGGGAATAAGGGAATATTACATACAGGAAGCAGTTATTTATAATGGCGAGACGTATGAGAAAGCATGACTTCTTTAGGTGATGGCATAAAGTTTTGCAAAGTAGAGAGAGAGGCAGGACTGTATCCTGAAGGCCATATGAAACCATGCTTTGTTTGAAGCATGAGTGTTTTATGATAAGATCTTCCCTGGAGAACATTTCTCACCGAAGGGTATAGAATAGGTTGGAGAAAGTCTAGACTAGAGGCATTAAGAGCAGTTAAGAGGCTTCTGTGGTAATAAAGGTGGGAATAATGAGGGCTTCGATGGAGGGTGTATCCAGGGAAATAGAGAGATTGAGACAACTTGGAAAGATATTAAGGATGGCACACAATGGCTTATACAGCATTACTTAGTGGATGTGGAGGCAAGAAAGAGGGAGAAATCAAAGACGACACCCAGATTTCTGACTTGGTTGATTGAGTTGATGGCAACGTCATTCATCAAGATGGGACTACTGTAGGAGAGGAAAGGGGAAACGGAAGGGGGAAAGCAGCCACTATGCCAGGCTCCTTATAATCATCACTTCACTTAATCTTCACAGCATTCTTTTTAGTTGACTGTATAGTAGGGAGAACTATTTGAGGCAGGCAGAGAATATGTGAAGTATTGATGCTTGTGGTAAGAGCCCTGGTAATGCAGTGGTTAAAGTGATCAACTGCTAATGGAAAGGTTGGCGATTCAAAACTACCAGTGGGAGAAAAATGTGGCCGTCTGCTTCTGTAGGGATTTACAGCCTTGGAAACCCTATGGAGTTGCTATGAGTAGGAGTTGACTCAATGGCAGTGGGCTTGGATTTAGGTTTTGGTGCTTGTGGACATTCAAGTGAGATGTTCAGTGGATAGTAGATGTCTGGAGCTCAGAAGAGATGTCTGAGTTGGAGATTAGTGTATAGGAATGAAAGCCCATAGAAGGTGGCTGAAACTCTGGAAAGGAATAAGATCATTTCTTAAAACTGACTTATGTCTTCTTTCTTCAGTTATTTTGCCTGGATTTTCCCCCTCACTCTCCATTTGCCAAAATCTTCTGCAGTTTTCAGTGCATAGTCCCAAAATAATTTTCTTCATGAGATCTGATGTACTCTGATCTCAAGAAATATCTTCTGCTGTAGTGCTTCCTATTTTTTTTTTTTTAATGCTTCACTTGTACTCTTATCAGTCTATATTTTTAATGGTTATTTCTACGCATGCTTATTTTGTCAGCTCCTTGACAAAAAGTCCTGGTTCACACCCATCTTTATTTCAAAATTGAGGTATAGAGTTCTGATCATAAATAAATGTTCATTAAATTAAACAACCTAGGTATAAGACCAAAAAAAACCTTAATCATTTCCCTTTTAAGTAGTGTTAATGATATTTTATTTGTGCTCCCTCCCCTTCTGCTGTCACACATAGAGAGCTCTATCACGAACTAAATGAAAAGTTTAAAAATAGCACAGTCATGTACACTATGATACTTAAGTTACGACCAGCTGCAGGACACATTGGATGAGCTGCTAAGAGAGAGTACCATTACCTCCATATTTCTCTGACAGCTTGTTTTCTGTACATTGGTGTTTCACTGTTTTCTTCTTAAAAATAAAATAGCGTTTTACTGTTTCAGTCCGGACACAGTTTCGGGATTCTTCCTCTGTTAAACCTAGGAAACGGAGTAGAAAGTGAAAATACTGAGCATGCACTATTGAGAATTCAGAGAAGAGGAGCCTGGAGTGCTGTTCACCTCTGAAGTTAATTTCTGTCTCCTTCAGATACTACATGTCACCCCCATCTTGCCCAGTTCCCATAAGCTTGCATGATTAATAGCTTTTACCTACAGATTCAGTCAGCACAGGTCCGGAAATGATCCTGAACAGGAGGGGTTCCTGTGAGTCTCTGCCATTTCCCCCTTTAACACTGGCCCTAAGAAGACACATGGGGTCACCATGGCCCATCCCCTCTGGATGATGTTTACCTTTCTCTGTTGCCTACGCCTCATTGCCACTCCACATGATAGACCACTAAGCTTGCACTTCCTACTGGACACTGCCACTGTGTAGCCTGCAGATCAAGAGATTAAGACATGTTCTGTTCCCCCCTCCACTGCCAGGTCTACTTAATGGATCTACTTCATGATTCTGAGAGACCTGAAGTCCCAGGGTCCTTCAGGAAACTAAATCCATCATGTCCACTTAGCTTTTTTCCCTGTTCATCACTTAAAATGTAAATCTTGTTGGTCATCTCTCCTCTTCTCATGTCCACTCATTTTCATACTTCAATGGGCTTCCTCTCCTCCACCCAAATGCTCACTTTGCTCCTCCTTCCCAGACCCTTTTATTTTATTCTCAGAAATTCTGAGTGCCTGACCTATGAACTCCTCTTTTCAAATGCCTCACTGGTTGTTCTGCTCCCCTGCTTTAATTCAAGTTTGTGCTTGATACTGGTTCCCCTGTTGTCTCCAGGGGAGGTTGATACTAGCTCATTTCCCCTCCCTTCAGTTTAGGAGCTGGGATTGACATCTTCTTAGTTTCCTAGTGCTGCTTCCAGATGATGACTGTCCACAGTCTTACAAGTCATGTAAAACCCTGGTCCTCTAAGGCTCAGGCCTTCCAGTTACAATACCTCTAATACTCACACTAAATTCTCAAACATTCACTTGTTGAAGATGTTGGCATTTGAGTCACCCTTTCTACTTGCCATCATTCTCAATGACTTTGAAATCTATGTGGATAACCAATCCAAATTTCTGTCCCTTACTTCCTTCACCTCTCTACAATGACCTTATCTTTTACTCCTTCTCAATAATCTTACTTACTGTCAGTCATAATCTGGGACATGTCTCTTGTTCAGTTTTTCAACAAGGATTTGTTACATACACATTATGTCCAGTATTATGCTGAGACATGAAGGTAAAACAGTAAACAAGTTAAAATGGTTCTTGCCCTATTGGAGCTTATGGTAAAAGACTTGGAGATGGAGACGGCATCAAAGAAAATTAAAAGATGGTAAACGAAAAATAAAGGTATCATCTACTAAAAAGATATTCACACAGTCTAGTAAATAAAGATGGCGATGTTGTTGTGTTGTTAGTTGCTGTCAAGTTGATTCCGACTCATGCAGACTCCATGCGTGCAGAGTAGAACTGCTCCATATGTCAAGGCTGTGACCTTTCAGAAGCCGATGGCCAGGCCTGCCTTCCAAAGTGCCTCTGGGTGGGTTCGAACCACCCACCATTCGGCTAGTAGTGACATCTTAACCTTTTGTGCCACCCAGGGACTCCTAAAGCTGGAGCTATGTAACATGAAAAACAGTGATTTATTGAAGAGTGGAAATTTACACCATTATATGGAGACAGTGCCACTTAGAATCTAGATTAGAACTATGAGATATTTTGAAAGCTCAGGTATGGGAGCTAACTGCAGCATGAGGATGTTCTTTTGTCTTTTAGTCCATTTACTACAAAGCATACTGACAGCATGAGAGTACTTACCGTCACCACCCAAGGTGCTCCACCTCTGACATCACTAATTCAGAAACCCCCTCAGACAATAATGTCTTACCCTTCCTGCTTGCCCACTACTCTGTTGACCAATTAAAAACTACCTATCCCTGTATTTTCTCTTAATTCTTCATCCTCTTTCTCTCTTCACTTTATACTATATCCTACCTGTATTTCATGATCCTTCATTTTAACTAATGTCTTGCAAATATCCTCTTTTGTCTTTTCTTCTTGTTAACATAGAAGAATTAGGACCTTGGCTGATTCTAACCATCCTCCTTCTCTGTGCCTGCTCAGAAGCTGGTGAGGACTGCTGGAGAAATTGTATCATCATGCAGATTGGTACCCCTACAAACTCATAGTCTCTAATGGGATCCTCAGCATTGCCCAGCAATCCTGTTGTGCTTCTCAAGAGAGCTTGCTTGCTTACTCTAAGTAACAACAATTTCAAGTGTTTTTTACTCTCGGCAAACCTCTGTAACAGTTAACTCAAAAACTGCACGCTTACCTATAGCTTCTTTTATCTTTTCGTCCCTCACTGTTGTTAAACCATCCTAGGTATTCAAGTATTCATTAGTCACTGTCTCCTTTCTTTCTATTTTTGGGATTTATAACTGCATTTTCTACATAAAGCTAGAATTTACTTTTGGACTTGGAGCTTTATTCTGAAGCTTAGCCCTGTTAATTGGCATCGCGATGTTCTACTGTGCTCCATAAGACCAGTTTGTTCTTAAGGACCATAACAGAAGCTATTAGCTATTGAGTACTCACTATGTGCCAAGCACTGCGATAAGTTCTTGACTACTACCTGGGATTCCATTGTGAAAGGTGTCACACTACCACTTCATGGCCACTTGCTTGCCATTGAGTAACACCTGTTGTCTAGAACCTCCTTTAATTACGTTTCAACTAGCTGGGATATCCTTGGAGATCAACACCTTTTAAAATCAAATCCACGAATGCCATCCACAAATGTTAATGGCAAGCAGTTGAACTCACAACTCCAGATGAATAATGTTCATCTCCTGACAAATGCTAGAAGTCTGAATGTTCATAATTGTAGTCAATTAGTGAATTAAAATTTGCCAGGAGCTACTCAAAATGTCTCAGGAGTGGCCCCATTTGTTTGTTTTCTTTGATGTTCGCGATTAAGTGGAACACAGAGCAGGGAAACTGGTCTAGCATACCTGTGGGCTGAGTTGGCACTGCCTATCTGGGTAATTTAAAAGGAATCAATGCTCCCTCTTTCTGAACACTTTTTCAGGCCACCTGACCCATTGCCTAAAACACCAAAATTAAAATCTAGTTCTTTTGGTGTTCAGTAAAATAATTGTCTTGCAAAACACAAGCGCATGAGGCATGGAGCTGTTATTATCAGCTTGCAGTACCTTAGAGTGAAGTAGTTTATCATATACTGCTATTAAGGGTTGGAGGTTACCATACGCATGGAAGAGTGTTTTCAGAGCTTGAAGCACTGATTGGGTAAGATGGTGAAGATGAAATGTGAAGGTATTGATCACTGGTGAGTGAGGCTGGGCAGGTGGGGACCAGGCCTGCCTACTTCATAGTTTTTTTCAACCATTTGACACATTCAAAGAGAGACATTATCACTGGAAATTAAATTAAAATTAAAAACTTCTTAGTTTGAAGCCCTCATGTTTATCTTGCATCTTCAACACTAACAAAAAAGATGTCTGTTTCAGTCAGGCTGAATAAATATGGAAATATGGTTCATTTTTCTTCCAGTATTGTTGCTCTTATAAGAGGATCAGTCAAATGTTTAGGTCATGTTAGGAATTTAATGCAATCTATTATGCAAGACTTCTATCCTTTTCCTATTATTTTATTAGGTTTTTATTATTTATAAGTGAAAGTTAAATTTGATGTGCCCAAGTCTAACTATAAACTTAATTTATTTCATTTTCTGAGGGTTACAGGTGAATCCTTGAAGATTCGAATGATGAATCTAGCCTGTGATCAGTGGCATTGATCATGTAGGGATTAAAATGTCAGGTCTTTGTCAATGAATTTCTACACAAGCCTTTGGTTCTCTGCAGTCTGTCCTGTAGATTGCTGGCTGACCCTGAGACACATTAACTAAGTAGTTGCTTGATGCTGTAGCCCTTGGCCTCTCATTCGGGAGTGTCCCCTCTGCTGTGGCACAGGGATGGGTATTTCAGTAATGTCCTCAGCTACTTGAACTGAGCAAAGGTCAATTGAAAATGTCATACTGACAAATATTGAAGAGAATAATTTTTCATCTCCAGTTTAGAGCAGATAATGACTTGCAAGAAAAGAAATTTAAAATTACCATTTTGTATATTTTGATATTTTAATTGTTTGATGTTTTCACTGTATTCCTGAAATTCTTTTCACCTTGGAGACTGCAGCAATGTCAACTTTTATTCAAGCTTTTAAATTGACTGTGGGACACTGAACAATAGAGGAATAAATCCAGGGATGCAAATAAAAAGGAATTTAATTTTATTCTTCTTGAGGGAGAAAATAATATGAAATATTCAAGGCATTATTTTGAAAATTAATGACAAGGGATATAATTCTTATCGAATAAAGAATAACAAAAACTAAAAGTATACTCTAGCTCCATGTTACACTTAGGTAAAGGGAGAAAAGATAAAAGGGATAAAAAGGAGGAGAACAGAATTTGTATTTATCTAAAGAGTGGGCAAAAACAGATAAGCACATCCATCTGACAATTCCATTTTATTAAGATTTGATTCTCTTTGGGTGTGCTTCATCTTAACAATTAAAATTGTGCCCTGATATTATTATTGTGATTATACACATATACATAAACACATAACAAACCCATTGCCATCCAGTTGATTCCGACTTACAGCGACCCTGTAGGACAGGGTAGAACTGCCCCATAGGGTTTTCAAGAAGCAATTGGTAGATTGAAACTGCCGACCTTTTGGTTAGCAGCTGAACTCTTAACCACTGCGTCACACGTATCTGTGAATATATATATATATATATATATTTATTTATATTTATATATACATAAACATATACACTTATACACACTCATATATATAAACATACATACAAACACATATATTATATACACTCTATCTACATTTTATGCCTGCATGTGTAATGTGCACATATGTATAATGTGTACATATATATAGTGTGTATGTGTGTGTGTATAGTTATATGTTTCCAGTTTCCTATCACTTCTCAAGCCCCCTTTCTTTCCCTCTTTATGTGTTTCTGTTTGTCGGTCAGTCAGTCTCTACTTCTATTTGTAGAGAAGGAGATAGTGAGAAATTTCAGTCGGAGAGTATAGTTCATCACTCTTCATTTAGGTTATGAGGTTTCCACTATTGAAAGGCTGAATGGTTGATTATAGATTCACTTGCTTCTTTAACTGACCCGAGCCTTTAGAGTCTTTACTCTGAATACATGATGAGTAAAGCTCATCAAGTGGGAAATTATTCTCTGGGTTATCGCAGCAGTGACCAGAATAATTTCATCCCAAGGGTCAGAAGAAATCAAGCCAAGAGCCAGGGGTTTCCCCCAACCATGTTTTCTCTGCATTGATGTTACTGCTATTCTCAGTGGCAGAAGATAGCAATTTTATCATACAACCATTGCTCCGGTGGAAAGAGCTACAACTGAAATGAAATATAAGGGGCAGGCCACGTGGAAAGCCCTTCCCAGCACAAATCTTTTGAACTTTAGTAAACATCTCAAGTGAAAAAAAGGAAAACCTTCTTACTGAAAATCCTACTCAAAGATAATTATCCTATCTTTTCTCACAGCAAGCAGATCATGGGGGAACACCTGGTGACTTAAGCACTCAGGTGTCCATATTAGGCATTAGGCTTTGCTATATTGAGATGTAGGAAAAGAGGAATTGAAACTCTATTACCTCCAGGGCTGGCCCGATGTTGTCTTTTTAAATAAATTTGTGTTTTCTTTTGCATAAAATTTGAATGGACAATAATTCTGGTTTACTGGGGAATTAGTGAGTTGGGTTTTGGTGACTATACAATTTCTTATCCTTGTCCTCAAAAGATACATGATAAAATCATCACAAAGACCCTGAGTTCTTTGACACAGGAGCCTGAAAACAAATTTATCCAAAGGTGCTTAAGCTGTAATAATAATTGATATTGGTGATTTTAGATAATAGTTTAGAACTCAAGATGTCAGGTTCATATTGTTATTTTACATGTAAGCAGAAAATACCTCTGATTATATCTCAGGATATAAAATTGTAACTTTTCCTCAAATAAAATTGCTTTCCATATGGTTTTAAGTTTTATTACCTCAGAAGAAAGACTTGGTGATCTACTTTCGAAAGATTAGCCATTGAAGAGCCTACGGAGCACAGTTCTGCTCTGAAATACTCGATGGCAACTAGTTTTCTGGCTGGGTGCATATCTGGCTCATGTTAACTTAATCCCTTGTCAAGTCCTCACTTGTTCTTTCACCTTATGCCCTTGGCTTTTAGTTAAATTACTAAAAGAAACAAATCGCTATTGCATTTAATATAAAATTATTGTTCTATATAGGTATTATCTTCTTCAAAAATGTTGTAAGTAAACTATCTTTTAGAATTTAGTTCCAGGACAAACTTTGTCCCCCTTTGGTACTGGCATGCTTCTCCCATTCTAGGTAACTAGCTTATGATGTTCCCAGATGCCAAGCAACAGAAACAAATCTGATGGCCAATCACAGAAGTTAAGTATATTTATTTTTCCTTCTTTCTTGGTCCTAATTTTCTATTTCACTTACTTGAGTGTGTATGTGGTTGGTTGTTCTTCATATCATTTTGGAAATAAAACGGGTCTAAATAAGGTCAATGGAGTCCATGGGTGGTACAAACGGTTAATGTGCTTGGCTGCTAACTGAAAGGTTGGAGAGTCAAGTCCACCCAGAGATGCCTCAGAAGAAAAGCCTAGTGATCTAATTCCAAAAAATCAGCCGTTGGAAACCGTATGGAGTGCAGTTCCACTCTGACACAAATGGGATCACTGAGTTGGAGTCGACTCAATAGTGACTGGATTTTTTTAAAGTGAGATCAGTAAATAAAAATAACTAAAATGATAGAATAAGACAGGCAGAAAGATGTATTACATGTTATCATATTGGTTATAAAAGGAGGGCTGCAGAAAGCATACCTGAGTTCTTTAGCTCTTCACGACTAAACTGATAGAGGAGGTCATACACACCACCCAGGGAGCCAGAGGTGAAATAGTGAGTCCCAAAGTCGTCAAATATCCGGCTATACAAAGCAAAATTGTATTCCAGAGGCAGATGGCTAAGTGCTTTCAAAAAGACATCAGAAAGCTGTAGATCTTTACTCTTCATTGTAAAGTTTAAGACTTTTATCGCTTTATGGATCCTAATAAAACTAGAATCCTAAATGGAAGAGAAGAAAAGAGTAAAAAAATGATGATTAAAGGCAATAAACACTGGAGGAATCAAACATTTAAACGTCATCAATCTATCATTATCTTCATTCCTACCGTAATGTTACAACAATTTTAGCTCTCTATTGCATGTTCTCACACTTAAAATTATAGGTCTACTTTACTTTCCAGTACCTTTCCCTGAGATATCCAAAGTCTCAACAGATAAGATTATCTCAATAATGTAGACTGTGTCACAGAGAAAGATGAATGCTTTCTACCGAAGAAGAGAGCAATTATCAGAAAAGTAAATCTTTCTCTGTTGATTGCAGATCATGGCTGCGTCCCTGTGAGTTGTTATTTAGAAGACCTTGCTAATGCAGATAATTGAGAAAGGATTGTGGAAATTTTCAGCTGGGAGGTATGCAGCTGAGGTTCTTTGTTTCTAATGGGAAAAAACGTTTAATTTTTTTTAGACCTCAGTTTTCACGTGATAAGATGAGGGCTGCACACCAGGTAATGTTTTATACCCCTTTCAACTACAAAATGGCTATGATTCTAAATTTCTTAGGGGTAAAATTAAACAAACTTACTTTTTCTTTTCCACCTATGTTCAGAAACAATTGAATACGGTTTTTGACAATTTCTTGTTACGTCAGATTAATTTAAAATTATTATTGTTAGTTTCTGTTGAGTTGATTCTGACTCATGGCAACCCCACATGTGCAGAGTAGAACTGCTCCATAGGGTCTTCAGTGGTCTGTATTATGTTCAAAATCTCATTCTATTTGATTATCTTTTTCCATAGCCACTGAGTTTTTTTCAGTGCATCTATATGCACTAAATTTAAGAAAAAATTATATACTTTATTTGATCTCTCCATTTTAGCAAACTGTAGCATTTGAGTAATAGTAATGGAGTGAGGAACATATGTTAGCAAAAGAGCCTCAATGTAGCTATAAATTATTAAACAGCTATTTTCTTGTATGCTGTAATTATGGCATACAAAGGCTGCTAACACAAAAGGATGAAAAAATAACGATAAGGATTGAAAGAATCTTCATCAATCCCCTTCTCTTCTTTTCTCCCTCCCCCGTCTTTCTTGCCTTCAACACATTTAATACGCAAGAGAAAGTTTGTGCCTTTGTGGAGCTTACATTTTAGTAAGTGCCCATTATTTCTATTTTTAAATTTAATTCTTGAATTTTGCCATAGAACTATAGTTTTTGAAACCTGGAGGACCTTGTGCTTTTAGTAAAAAGTGCACTCAATCCTTGAGTATGTGAAATGCTCATTATGGGAGGTTTAAAACTTGCCAGGTTGCTTTAAAAAAGAAGTCATGGAAAAATACATATTAAACTTTAGTAACTCAGCTTAGCACAAGTGCCTCCATGGTGCTCAACTTGTCAGTTCTTGATGGCTGGAAAGGGTAATTTTAGCCTAAAAAATTAGGTTACCATAGATGGTTAAGCCATATATAATCTATTTTAACAATTTGTGTGTTCTTGCTTAATTTTAATTATCTTTTTGTGGTTTTCATTTTGTAAAGTAAACCAAAAAAGCACAGAAGCTTAGTGAGAGTTAACTGGTATTTTCACTTTGAAACAGATTATCTGCCCAACAAATGTCTAGTCAGATGTGTGATGGGCCAAAAAAAATAGAAAATAAATACATAAAAATTTAATAAATAAACAAAGCATTAAGCTCTACTTAAGGGCTTAGATTGATTTTCAAATTTGGAATACCTTGCCTTCACTACTTGAAGAATAGGAAAAGTTGGGTATCATTTTCTATGGAGACTGAGATTTCCTTATTCTGTTCAGATCTAATCAAATATAATAGTTGTGATATTTGGCTGAACCATATGAAGTTGACTATTTGTAGGTCAAAAATGGTTGAATGTCAGCAGTTTCATGTGGTCCAAACTAATACTGTGATTAGCCCTAAATGTTTCCACTTTGGGGCAGACTAAATATTACAGGATTAAATGACAGCTGTTCATCTACAGATAAGAGTTTCACAAATGTTCTCTAGCATGTTTGAAACATCTATAAACCCTTCTGTGAAGCAAGTCTTAATGTCAGGACTGGTATCTCTATCTACATCTCTTTCAACATCATCTCTACCTCTACCTTTGACTATATTTTTAAGCAGTTATTTCCAATCTTGGATGTTGCATCAGAGTGAGCTGAGGATGTTTTAACAAATGTAGGTTCACATGCTCAACCTCCAGATACTCCGTATCAGTAGATTAAGGGCTTGGGGATGTGTATTTTTATTTCCTAGTAATTCTGATAATAACTTATATTTAGAATATCATTTGGTATATCTGGAGCACAATGTATGACACATAGCCCATTCAAAACTGAAGTAAGAAGGTATTATAAAAGGAATCTATTTTATTCTTATTTATTTATTTATTTTTGCATGCCCATATCACCAGAGCTGGGCTTGTTCCACAGTTTGTTGCAATTATGAATAAATGAATAAGCATGGCTTGAAGTGTAATGTGATAGATAAGAATAGTGGATAAAAATCAGAAGAACTGATTTCAACCCTCTACTCTGGCATTTACTCACTGTAAGATCATGGGAAAGTCACTTAGCCTCTTGGATGTTAGAGTAGTACCTGCCACATGGTATGAATTTGATAAATATTTGTTGACTTAAAAAATGTATGGACTTCAGTTTACTCATCTGCAAAATGGTGTTAAAAAATTCTACTCTGATAACCTCTTAGAGTTCTTTTGAAGATAAATGAGATACTTAGAAAAATTATCTATAAAGTACTGGAAGATTTTGTATTTATGTAAATGTATGAATGGGTGAATAAATAAATATATGAAAGGCACTATGGTAAAGGCAGGAGGAGCTATAAAATGGTGTCCTCAAGGTACTGGTCCCATTGACTCAGTGCTGGTGCCTCTGCCTCTTCCTCTTACCTCCCACCTCTCATGTTGCATGATTCAGGCCTCATTCTCCCTGTTCACTTCTTTGGAAAGAACAAATGCTATTCAGAACGGTGGTTGCAAGGAGGAACAGATACTATTTTAAAAGACACTTGGTAAATGTCTAAATTTGTCAAACATAAATCCATCCCCTAATTCATTTAAGAATTGAAAGACATATCCAGGAGATTTAAATACAAATAATAGCAGGAGAGGAAGGAAAAGATGAAGGAAGATGAAAAGATGGAGATGTATCTTCACATATTGAATGGGTTTCACAAGTTCCTGACAAGATTAATGGGAAAAGTCCAACATTTAGACATATCCTGAATTCTAAGGGTGAAGAAAAAAAAAAAACTTGTAAGTTTTCAGACAGAGAATAAAACAAAGAAAATCAGCTGTATATACGATTTTTTTGTATGCAAAAATGGAAATTACAAGACGGTGGAATAATATATGCTGACTGTCAAGAGAAAAGGACTACGATCCAAGATTCCTATATTCACCAAAATATTCTTTATCTTTATTGCTTGGGAAAAAGGCAGGCATTTAAAATATATAAGGATTTAAGAGATACACCGTGCGTGCACCCTACTTGAGGAAAATATTAAAAAAAAGACAATTGTATAAGAATAGGGATCTCAAGAAAGGGAAGATGAGAGTGGAGGAAATGATGATGAGTGACTATATCCCACCTGAATTTAGAGACCATCTCAAGAATAGATTTGACGCATTGAACACTAATGACCAAAGACCAGATGAGTTGTGGAATGACATCAAGGACCTCATACATGAAGAAAGCAAGAGGTCATTAAAAAGACAAGAGAAAAGGAAAAGACCAAAATGGATGTCAGAAGAGACTCTGAACATCGAGTAGCTAAAGCAAAAGGAAAAAATGATGAAGTAAAAGAGCTGAACAGATTTCAAAAGGCAGCTTGAGAAGACAAAGGAAAATATTATGATGACATATGCAAAGACCTGCAGATAGTAAAACAAAAGGGAAGAACACACTCAACATTTCTCAAGCTGAAAGAACTGAAGAAAAATTCAAGCCTCGAGTTGCAATATGGAAGGACTCTATAGGGAAAATATTAAACGACACATGAAGCACCAAAAGAAGACGAAAGGCACACGCAGAGTCACTGTACCAAAAAGAACTGGTCAATGTTCAACCATTTCAGGAGGTAACATATGATCAGGAACTGATGGTGCTGAACGAAGAATTCCAAGCTGCAGTGAAGGCATTGTGGAAAAACAAGGCTCCGGGAATTGATGGAACATCAGTGGAGATGTTTCAACAAACGGATGCAGCACTGGAAGTGCTCACTCATCTATGCCAAAAAATTTGGAAGACAGCTACCTGGCTAACCCACTGGAAGAGATCCATATTTATGCCTATTCCCAAGAAAAGTGATCCAACCAAATATGGAAATTATAGAATAATATCATTAATATCACATGCAAGCAAAATTTCGCTGAAGATCATTCAAAAGTGGCTGCAGCAGTATATCAACATGTAACTACTAGAAATTCAAGCTGGATTTAGAGGAGGATGTGGAACCAGGGCTGTCACTGCTGATGTCAGATGAATCCTGGCTGAAAGCAGAGAAAACTAGAAAGATGTTTACCTGTGCAAAGGCATTCGATTGTGTGGATCATAACAAATTATGGATAACATTGCAGAGAATGGGAATTCCGGAACACTTAATTGTGCTTGTGAGGAATCTGTACATGGATCAAGACGCAGTTGTTCGAACAAAACAAGGGGATAGTGCATGGTTTAAAGTCAGGGAAGGTGTGCATTAGGGTTGTATCCTTTCACCGTACCTATTCAATCTATATGCTGAGCAAATAATCTGAGAAGCTGAACTATATGAAGAAGAACATGGCATTAGGATTGGAGGAAGACTCATTAACAACCTGAGTTATGCAGATAACACAACCTTGCTTGCTGAAACTGAAGAGGACTTGAAACACTTACTGATGAAGATCAAAGACCACAGCTTTCAGTATGGATTGCCCCTCAACATAAAGAAAACAAAAATCCTCACAATTGGACCAATAAGCAACATCATGATAAACAGAAAAGATTGAGGTTGTCAAGGATTTCATTTTACTTGGATCCACAATCAACACCCAGGGAAGCAGCAGTCAAGAAATCAAAAGATGCATTGCATTGGGCAAATTGGCTGCAAAAGATCTCTTTAAAGTGTTAAAAAGCAAAGATATCACTTTGAGGACTAAGGTGAGCCTGACCCTAGCCATGGTATATTCAATCACCTCATCTGCATGTGAAAGTTGGACAATGAATAAGGTAGACCAAAGAATTGATTCCTTTGAATTGTGTTGTTGGTGAAGAATATTGAATATACCATGGACTGCCAACAGAACAAACAAATCTGTCTTGGAAGAAGTACAACCAGAATGCTCCTTGGAAGCAAGGACGGTAAGACTGCGTCTCACATACTTTGGACGTGTTATCAGGAGGGACCAGTCCCTAGAGAAGGACATCATGCTTGGTAAAGTAGAGGGTCAGTGAGAAAGAGAAAGACCTTCAATGAGATGGATTGACACAGTGGCTGCAACAATGGACTCAAGCATAACAAGTGTTGTGAGGATGGTGCAGGACCGGGCAGTGTTTTGTTCTGTTGTGTATGGGGTTGCTATGAGTTGGAACTGACTCGATGGCACTTAACAACAACAACAACAACACATACATGTATATATCTACATATATACGTATACATATATGTATATATACATACACATACAGGTATAAATGAGTTTCTGGGTGGTGCAAACGGATAAGTGCTGGACTACTAATCGAAAGTTTGGCAGTTGGAACCCACCGAGAAGTGCCTTGGGAGAAAGGCCTGGCAATCTGCTTTTGTAAGATCACAACCTTGAAAACCCTATGGAGCAGTTCTACTCTGCACACAAGGGGTCGCCATGAGTCAGAATCCACTTGACAGCAACGAGTTTGGTTTTTGGTTTATACATTTATAAACTATAATACAAATATAAAATATAGACTATGAACTTGGAAATTACAAGTGTTACGTGATGAATCATTAAAGAAGATAAGAGTCAGAATGAAAATACAAATTAGCATGTTGCTGTTGTTGTTAGGTGCTGTTGAGTCGATTTCGACTCATAGAAGTCAACATAATAACAATCCCTAGCAATAGCTTAGAACTCAAGGTTTTAAGTATCTCACTAACACTGAGGGTTGGGAATCCTGTGATGATAGTGTGGGGGAGTAGGGTAGGGAAGCAAATGTGTTTTCAAGGAGGTAATGAGGATGGGACGTGGGGAATAGGTAAGTAAAACAGATTTTGGAGGGGGGGGGCTACAGATATTATTTCATGTGATATAATAGAAAAAAAATATAGGGCTTGTAACTGCTCCATAGGTTTTTCTTGGTTTTAGTCTTTATAGAAGCAGGTTGCCAGGCTTTTTGTCCATGGCACAGCTGGGTGGGCTTGAATGGTTAGTAGTTGATTGTTGGCCCCACCCAGAGATCTTAGAGAAAGGGAACCACAAACAATTTGAAAGTGTAATAGAACTTCCAAAATGACTAAAAGGACAAAATGGAGTAAACAGAAAAGTAAGAAAGAAAACAGAAAAATAGAGAAAAAAAGGAAATAGCAACAAAGTGAAATAAGCAAGAAAAATAAAATAACATGGAAGGAATAAGACCATCTATTTCAGTGAGTATGGTAAATGTAAATTGGCTGACTATCCCTAGCAAAAACCTGAGACTGTCAGATTATATTTAAAAAAAATCCTGTTATATGTGGTTTGTAAGAAACATACCTAAAACAACATGAAAAAGAAAAGTGAAAATAAAGGGAACACAAATATAAATACAGCCCAATTTACATGAAAAGGAAGCATTGTTATACATATCACCTCTATAATTTTTGAAGTGTAATATAACAACAAAAAAATGTAAAACTATTTAGATCTGTGTTAGAAATCCTACTGATTCGATATAAAAACTCTCCCCTTCTCATCGCATCATTGCTGGAATTGGTGTTAATTTTCAAGAAAGAATAGAAATATCAGGAATCATTTTTATTACCTTTTTGTGGGAGGCTTGAATGGCTTGTTTGAAGGTAGACATACGGTTGGTGCTTTGACTTGTTTTTGAGGAATAGAAAATTGGTACAGAAAAAGATTTCCTGTGTTGACTTGAAAGTGCAGCTTGTTTACTGTCATCCTTTTCAAGAGAAATTAAATCCGTATAGAATTCTGTTTTCAAATCATCCTCTTCAGTACTTACCTGGAGAAAAATCCATAAGAAATAAAACATAGCTTAGGAAATACTAGAACTACTTGTGGATATCTACCATAACAACCATTCACTCATTTGTGTATTCAAGAAATATCCTTTGAGGGCCCATTTTGCTAAAGAAATTAATTGGAAATTAGAGGAATTAATAGTTTATTTAAGGAGACAGACCACAGACTGTCAATTCAATGTGGTAAGTGTCGTGCTGCCAGTGGGATATCATGGATAACCAGAAAACCTAGAGAGACAGTATCAGTCAAGTCTCCCTCAAGGAAATATTACCTAAACTGAGACTTAAAGGGGTGATAAGCCATGTGGGCTGTTTCAGTCTGCACATGTGTTTGATGCAGTTTTCAATCTAATTGGTGGCATAATTGTTAAGTGCTCAGCTACTAACCGAAAGGTTGGCAATTCAAATCTACCCAGAGGTGCCTCAGAAGAAGGTTCTAGCATTCTACTTCTGAAAGTTCACAGCCATTAAAAACTCTGTGGATCATAGTTCTGCTCTGATATACAGGAGTTTGCCATGAGTCAGAGTCAGCTTGATAGCAACTGGTTTGCTTGTTTGTTTTTTCAGAAAACTAAGGCCTAACGAGAAGGATGAGACCTCGTGGTGCAGTGGTTAAGAGCTCGGCTGCTAACCAAAAAGTTGGCAGTTGGAATCCACCAGCTGCTCCTTGGAAGCCCTATGGGGCAGTTTTACTCTGTCCTATTAGGGTCGCTATGAGTCGGAATCGACTCAACGGCAGCAGTGCTAGTCAGAAGGAACCCTGCTCTGGTTCCCTCCCCATATGCTTGGCCTTATTCAGATCTTGGGCTTCAGCCCATGTCTGTCTGGAGACAGAGGACATTCAATTGGGTCTTCCTGGTGAGTGGTTGTAAGTCTTCATTGACTCGGTCTGGAAAGAGGAGAAAAATACAGCCAGTGGGACTTGATTGGTGTTATGAGTTGGGCAGGGTATTTTCCAAATACAAGTGAAACCTCTGTTACAGTTATGCTAGTAAGAAATAACGGTGGATAAATTAGAAAAAGTTTCAAGTAAGTTGATTGAAAACCGTGTCCTTATGTTAAAGATGCTTGACTAGTTTGCAATGAAAAAAAAAATCTCTTTTTGTTTTGAAGTATTCAATATTAAAATGCACTATGAGACAAGCAGCCCTGGTGGCACAGTGGTTAGGTGGTTAAGAACTCGTCTGCTAACCCAAAGGATGGCTGATTGAACCCACCAGCAGCTCTGTGGGAGAAAGATGTGGCGATCTGCTTCTGTAAAGATTTTACAACCTTGGAAACACTATGGGGCAGTTCTACCCTGTCCTATAGGGTTGCTATAAGTAGGAATTGACTTGATGGCAATGGATTAAACTAATGGACAAATGAGACAAACTATATGTCACAATTAAATAGCTTACATAATTAATCAAGGAAGAACAAAATAATCCAGCTTCAAAGGAGTCTTGCTCAATAGCAAAATATAGTCAACAGTGTTATTTTCTAATATTGTGGTACATGCTAGAGAGCATTTGAAATGTCCAGAAAATGAAGCTCTTCAGTAATAGTGAAGTCATACACCAGTTTTAGATATAATTGCAGATATTTCTTTAAAAAATTAAGACTACAGATATTTTATGCTTTGTAAATTAGCCCTCACACAAGAAAAGATGTGTCATATTAAAGAAAAAAGATGTTAGCATGTACAGAAGGGGAATTAGGCAGCCCCGGCACAATCTCAGAAAAAATATAACTGTGTATGTAGTTCCTGGAAGATACAAACAGTTAAACACTGGACTATTAACTGAAAGTGGTTCAGACCCACACAGAAGTGCCTCAAAAGACACTCCTGGTGATCTGCTTCCAAAAAGTCACAGCCTTGAAAATTCTATAGAGCAGTTCTACTCTGCACACATGGGGTCACCATGAGTAAACTGACTCAGTGGCAACTGCCACCACCACCACCACCAATATTAGCATGGCAGGGGGGCAAGTTTACAGATAGGCAGTGGTAAAATTAGATTGAACCAGGAAACAGGGGCCAGATCCTCTGGAGTCTTGTATGCCTTGCTAAAGTATTTGGATTGAATTTTTTTTCCCCAGTGATAATAACCATTTATTAAGTTTTTCATATGAACTAGAGAATGTATTAGCATTTTATGTACATGGTCATATTATATCTTCAAAGAATAAGAATAGTACTGTTATAACTCTTATTTTGTAGATGGGGAGACTGAGGCTCAGAGAAGTTAAGTAACTTGCCCAGGGTCACACAGCTAGTCTATGTGATTTGACGCCAGGTTTGTCTCATTCCAGAGCCTGTTTTTCTTTTCCCCTTGATTTATATATGTATATATATGTTTTAATTTTATTGTGCTTTAGGTGAAAGTTTTACAGCTCAAGTTAACTTCCCATTCAAAAATTTCTACACATATTGTTTTGTGACATTGGTTGCAATTCCCACAATGCGACCGCATGCTCCCCCTTTCCACCTCGGGTTCCCTGTGTCTATTTGTCCAGTTTCTGTCCCTTTCTGCCTTCCTGTCTTGCTTTCGGGCAGGAGTTGCCCATTTGGTCTCATATATTTGATTGAACTAAGAAGCACATTCCTCATGTGTGTTATTGTTTGTTTTACACGCCTGTCTAATCTTTGTCTGAAAAGCGGGCTTCAGGAATGTTTTCAGTTCTGGGTTAGCAGAGTGTCCTGGGGTCATAGTTTCGAGGGTTCCTCCAGACTGTCAGACCAGTCAGTCTGGTCTTTTTTCATGAATTTGAATTCGGTTCTATATTTTTCTCCCATTCTGTCCAGGACTCTCTGTTGCGATCCCTGTCAGAGTGGTTGGTGATGGTAGCTAGGCACCACCTAGTTCTTCTGGGCTCAGGCTGGTGGAGGCTTGGATTGAATTTTTAAGGCAAGCTTTTGCATCTAGTAAGTTCTTAATAAATAATAATTGAATGAATGCAAAATGGGGCTGTTACCATCACATATTTGTTTTGCAAAGATCATATTAACTACAGTTAACTAAAGCAGACCTAAGGAGAGCAGTTTAAGTAACTGTTGCAGTAAGCCAAGTGAGACATGGTGATGGCCTGGTCTAGGAAAGTGATGGTTAGGATGGAGAGAAACTGGTGGGTTTGAAAGATATTTAGAAGGTAAATCAGCAGAAGTTGTTGACCAAATAGATGGGATGAGGGTGGGGGCGGGGGAAGAGACAGAGAGGGAGAAGAAGACGGAGAGGGAAAGGAAGATCAGAATGCTATTCCAGGAGAGGAAATATAGAAAACTGAGGTGACTTTTGAAGGAGAAAGGTGAGTTCTTCTTTATCATTTTTTGTTTTATATTTAGGTCTTTGATCCATTTTGAGTTAGTTTTTGTGGATGGTGTGAGGTATGGGTCTTGTTTCAGTTTTTTGCAGATGGATATCCAGTTATGCCTTCACCGTTTGTTAAAGAGACTGTCTTTTCTCCAACTAAAGGGCTTTGGGCCTTTGTCAAGTATCAGCGACTCATAGCTCAATGAATTTATGTCTTGATTCTCAATTCTGTTCCGTCGGTCTATGTATCTGTTCTTGTATCAGTACCAGGCTGTCTTGACTACTGTGGCAGTATAATGGGTTCTAAAATCAAGTAGTGTGAGGCCTCCCACTTTGTTCTTCTTCTTGAGTAATGCTTCACTTATTCAGGGCCTCTTGCTTTTCCATATGAAGTTGGTGATTTGTTTCTCCATCTCATTAAAAAATGCCATTGGAATTTGGATCGGGATTACATTGTATCTGTAGGTCGCGTTGGGTAGAATTGCCATTTTCACAATGTTGAGTCTGCCTATCCATGAGCAAGGTATGTTTTTCCGCTTATGCAGGTCTCTTGGTTTCTTGCAGTAGAGTCTTGTAGTTTTCATTGTATAGGTCTTTTATGTCTCTGGTTAGATTTATTCCTAAGTATTTTATCTTCTTGGGGGCTATTGTAAATGGTATTGATTTAGTGATTTCCTCTTCGAGGTTCTCTTTGTTGGTGTAAAGGAATCCAGCTGATTTTTGTATGTTTATCTTGTTCTGATACTTTGCTGAAATCTTCTGTTAGTTCCAGTAGTTTTCTTGTGGATTCTTTGGGGGTTTTCTGTGTATAAGATCGTATCATCTGCAAATAGAGATACTTTGACTTCTTCCCTACCAATCTGGATGCCTTCTATTTCTTTTTCTAGCCTAATTGCTCCAGCTAGGACCTCCAGCACAATGTTGAATAAGAGAGTGATAAAGGGCATCCTTGTTTGGTTCTTGTTCTCAAGGGGAATGCTTTCAAAGTCTTTCCATTTAGGATGATGTTGGCTGTTGGCTTTGTATAAATGCCCTTAATTATATTGAGGAATTTCCCTTCTATTCCTATTTTGTTGAGAGTTTTTATCATGAATGGGTGTTGGACTTTGTCAAATGCCTTTTCTGCATTGATTGATAAGATCATGTGGTTCTTGTCTTTTATGATGGATTACATTGATTGTTTTTCTAATGTTGAACCATCCCTGCATATCTGGTATAAATCCCACTTGATCATGGTGAATTATTTTTTTTGATATGTTGCTGAATTCTATTGGCTAGAATTTTGTTGAGGATTTTTGCATCAATGTTCATGAGAGATATTGGTCTGTAATTTTCTTTTTTTTGTGGTGTCTTTACCTGGTTTTGGTATCAGGGTTATGCTGGCTTCATAGAATGAGTTTAGAAGTATTCCATCCTTCTCTATGCTCTGAAATACCTTTAGTAGTAGTGGTGTTAACTCTTTTCTGAAAGTTTGGTAAAATTCTCCAGTGAAGCCATCCGGGCCAGGGTTTTTTTTTTGTTGGGAGTTTTTTAATAACAATCTCTTCTTTTGTTATGGGTTTATTTAGTTGTTCTACCTCTGTTTGTGTTAGTTTAGGTAGGTAGTGAGTTTCTAGAAATTTGTCCATTTCCTCTAAGTTTTCAAATTTGTTAGAGTACAGTTTTTCATAGTATTCTGTTATGATTCT